TGATTGTTGTAAGATGACCGTTGACGCGAGGTTGATTGAATTATCTACGATTTTCAGGCCTTTATATTGAAGTTTAGAAAAGCTTTGACCTCAGGGTTGACATTGAAAGAATTTGAACATATTTGCCTAAGTTTTGACCTGGACATCGGTGATTTACAATGTTTGTCGGAAAACTAACGTTTTGACCCTCAGAGACTGCGAGTGAGGGCGCGTTAGAATGGGTTCTGGCGCGTAGCCCGAGAATTAATGTAGATATTTTCGTTAGCTTTCTAACAAAAAAAAGTTTGCTCAAATCGGATCACCGAGTCAAAGGTTATGGCCAAAACAGTGCGGTGTCGCAAAAAATCTCTAATTTTGAGTTTTTGAGGAATTTCTTCGAAGTTGAGGTTCTCGATGTTGAATATCGAGAGCAAGTGGATTTTAAACAAAATTCTAAGGCAATACTTGAAATCCAAATCTCGAGGTTGCCTCGAAGAATAATGGCGAAAACCACCTACAAAACAAACCTCAGAATATCGAAATCTGCAGAATTTCAAAATGTTTGAACATCGAAAACTTTGGAGTTTCGAAAACCTCATAATCTTGAAAACTTGTTGTTTGAAAAACATCAGAACATCGAAAACTCCTGAAACATTTATAAGCAGGGAATCATTCAGAGATCCTTATAATGTAAAGCTTCGATGAACTGCAAAGGATGTCAAGATTCGAATTATGAGTTCCAAGAAACTGCAAACTTTGAAAGATTCAAAACATCGAGAAATTTTGAAAATCTCGAAATCTTCAGAATGTCGAGATCCAAAACATCGAGATCCCAAATGTCGAAATCCCAAAACTCGAAATTCCAAAACTCGAAATTCCAAATCTCGAGATTACAAATCTCGAGATCTTGATGTCGAGATTCAAATCTCGAGATCATGATTTCGAGATTCAAATCTCGAGATCTTGATTTCGAGATCCAAATCTCGAGATCATGATTTCGAGATTCAAATCTCGAGATCTTGATTTCGAGATCCAAATCTCGAGATCATGATTTCGAGATTCAAATCTCGAGATCTTGATTTCGAGATTCAAATCTCGAGATCAAGATGTCGAGATGCAAATCTCGAAATCAAGATTTCGAGATTCAAATCTCGAGATCAAGATGTCGAGATGCAAATCTCGAGATCAAGATGTCGAGATGCAAATCTCGAGATCAAGATGTCGAGAAGAAGAAATCGAGTCCCTAAATGTCGAGATCCTGCAAAACGAAAACATTGATTTTTGAAAATCTGAAACCTGTTCTGAATAGCCCTGAAAGTCGAGATTCTCCTGTATCAGTTTCAAGCCAAAAACGTTTCTGCAGCAGTGAGAATTAAGGATTTCGAGATCTCAATGTAGAGATATTCGAAATATAAAAATTGCAGAAAACGAAAAAAGAGGTATGCTGCTGGATCGGTTTTGAAAGACGAATCCAACAGTATGATTTTTACAAAATTTCTTTCACAAACGAGATTACAGGAGCAAATCTCTACATGTAGAAAAACAGAAGAAAAAACAGAGTAGTTCTTCGTTAGATCCAAAAAATCGCAGACAGATCCAACCTGTTTCACGCCTCGGCTCTGATACCAAATGTTAATTCCAGAATTTAACATTCAACAACCATAGCAAGAAGAATAAGAAGCAGATAGGAAGAAATTGACAAGATAAGAACCGAATCTGGTATACCGTATGAACCTGCCGCTACTCTCCCCGGAGAAGGAGAGCAGCGGCAACCCTAATTTCTCTCTATCTCGCCTCTGCGTCTCTAAGCCTCTATCGATCAGTTAGGTTTCCCGTAAGTTAGCCTCCTTTTATAGGAGAAGTTAGCTAACTTACGGGTTACAAGGAAGCCCACGGGCTGATACACATTTGTGGCCCGTATTACACGTTTAATTAATAACTACACAAATACAAAGATAACTAACTAGATTGAACACCATAAAATATTCCCAACAACAACCCAAGCTTTTTTCTGCATTTTTTTGTTTGTTTGTTTGTTTGCTTTCCGCAAACCCCCGGAAAAAAAATCCCAAAAAAAACCAAGGTGTTTTCTGTTTTTTTTGTTTTTTGTGTTTGTGTGTTTTGTTTTTGCAGCTCAGGGTCTTGCTTTGTGGATGATGTGCCGAGGATCACTTGACTCAGTTTAGTTCTGCACCGACCAGCGCCTTAGGGAAGTTTTTATGACTCTAATAATATCCTGTTTGTAATAATTGACTTGAGTTAAGTTGAGCACGCGTGACCCTATCCTCTTTACCTCCTTGTGCATAGTGCATTTTTGGTCATCGAGGACGATGCCAAAGTTTAAGTGTGGGGGAGTGAATTGGGCATTCGGGCTGTAGTTGCTACATGTGATTATTAGAGTTAGCATGCGCAGGTGTTAGTTGTATATTCATAGGAAATTCATGTCAAAATATTTGAAAATTTTTCTTTAAACCGTGTCATTGTGAATTGGATAGCGTTTTGACTATACTTTTACAACATCTTTGAAGTGTTTAGGCTTAATTTGCTTGCATAGTAATCTAGTTGATGAAAGGATGAAGACATTAGTCACCCATTATATGAATGAACAAATTTTTACCCCACCTAAAAAAGTCCTTTAGGAAAAGCCATTTTGAGCCTAACAGTTTATTGTTTACCCAATTAATTGAGCTCCACAGCCAAATGGCATGTGTTCCTTGCCCGTGAATATTTCTGACTTAGTCTTGATGTTTAGGAAACTAGGGGATTAATTTGCTAGGTTTAGGGAATTAGTGTAGGAGCCATTTTTGGCACTGTTCCTATGCTCCAAATAGGGTAAGAGCAGTCACTTTTTAGGAATTTGATACTTTCGAGGATTGAATTGTGGGCATGGATTCACTTTTAAATTAATGAACTTTAATTGCTATTTTTCTTTGGTGAGGCCGAGATTAGAATGGGGTAATGTCTAGTGAGAATCCGAAAGGTGAAAAATTAATATAGCTAGACCTCTTACTTTGCGAAAAAGGGAATGGGAGCCCCGGTCAAAAAGCGTAAGATGAGACTTGGGTATCTTTCGAAAGAAATGACGTTCTCGTGCCAACATGACAAGGAAAACTGAACTTATTTAATGAACTTGGAGGCTTTAGCAAAATTAGCTTTAGTTCTCCGCGTACTTCAAGTATACGTCAAAGCATCAATGTGCCGAGACGGTTTAGCTTAGTTGTACACCATGTCTACTCTTTGCATAGGTTTAGATGATTCTTCCTAAATTGCGGTCTACTGAGTTCCTTGATCCTAAGAATAGCCCTGAAGTTTCTAAATGCATTGAGTCTTTGTTAGAATATTCCAATCACTCAAAAGAAAGGGGCTGCTTATCACCATTCACCATTACCTTCACAAGTCCTTCTGATCAATAGCTAATTTATTTGTGTATGCTGTCATGACTTTAAGGATGTTGTGAATAACTTTGTCAAATATTTTAGCTAGAGTACAAAGATGTAGTTTAGGGAAGAATTTTCTTAATTTAGTCTGTCTATTCTGTGAATATCCCTTTAACTACCTGTGCATGCTGATTGTTTTAATTTCATGTGGTGATTTTCGTACGTCCCGTTGTTCAGTTTGCTTGAGGACAAACAAAGGCTTAAGTGTGGGGGAATCTGATAAGTCCGTATTTAGACACGCATTTGATGCGTGTTGGGATCGACTTGTGAGGGTTTTCCTAGTTTTAAGGTGTTACAAGTCTCAAATTTAGCTCAAGTTATGTTTAACAGGCGTTGGTTCAAGTTTTGTGTCATTTGGAGTCAAAATCAGGATTTTAGAGTTCGGCACTGGCGCTTGAGGAGAAATCGGGATGAGTTGAGAAGCATTTGAGATTGATTTGAAAGCTATGGAGGTCAGCGGGAGGCTTACGATGAAGATTTGATGACAAAAGAGCTCTAGGATTGGCTTCGGGATCAAAAGAAGATGAATGAAGCTTGAAAACGACGATCAGGATGACCTTCTGTCAATCGGTCAATCATATCTATTTATAGAAACAACTAATGGACATGATTCAAGTCGTATATGAAAGACAACTTCAAGGTCTACAAATCATATGAAGACACCATTACGAGAATATGAGAGCAAGAAGGTGAAAACAGATGATGAAGTCAGATGATCTCTACTGCGATTTCAGAATGACACCTTCCACCGTTTTGATCATATCTCTTGATTGGATGATTCAAATCACATTCGGCAAGTTGGGGTGGATAGATGACTTCATTCTATACAACTTTCGTGAAGGAAGTTTTGTAAAACTCGGAATAGAGAAAAGGCTTAAGAACACGGACGCACGACCGTGCGTCTGGGACGCACGATCGTGCTTAAGAGCCAAAACCGTGGAGGAGCTACTGCCTGCTACGCACGATCATGCGTAGCCAGGGAAGCACGATCGTGCGCAGCCCCGAGTTACGCGCGGAAATTTCCCACATCGACCAGAATTGCGATTTCCCTCCTCTTTTCTATAAATAAGACCTCCCTAACCTTTTTTTTTTTTTGGGGGGGGGGGGGGGGGGGGCGAACATTACGGATAGGCCTAGAGACGAATTTAACACCGTTTTTACGCTATTTTACTTCGAGACCCTGGGATTATTTGTAAGTTCATCTTTTTAATTAATGACAATTTATTCTATTCATCTCAATTCTATTGATTCTTCAATTATAAATTGTGATTAGTTTAATTAGCACTACAACAAAATGGGTCTTTTGCGTCGCAAAAAGTAGCAAATCGAAGCAAATAACTTATTCGCGTCCACTTGTCGACGCAAAAAGGTCGACACAAATAGTCGGACGCAAATAGTTCTTTTGCGTCAACTGTGAGCGACGCTAATGATAACAAGTTATTTGCGTCGACTTGAGCGACGCTAGTCGGACGCAATGTGTCGACGCAAATAATTATAAAAATTGTATATATTCATTTTATATTATCTATTTGCTCCTGCTGCACAATTTTTAATCAAGATCAAAGTTGACACAATCAAAATGACAAAATCTAATATCATTCCCAACATATCAATTCGTTAAATGTCTAATAATATTAAATTAACATTAAAGCTAAAGTAATTCATGTCAAACAAAGTCATAATTCAAACAGACATAAACTCATCCACCTTAACAAATTAGAACACATATTGAACATGCTATCACTAATTCTGATCATCATCGTCATTATCATTGTGCCTCTCATCAGGTTGGTTCGCACTGGACATCGAAGGAACGTCGCTTCCGGAGGCGTGTGAAGGCAACTGAAAGCCGAGAATAAAATGTCGTAGAGCACTCAATATCAATTCATGATTTGCCCGCAATTCACTTATCTGAGCATCACGGTGATCTTGCAATGTGGAAGTAGCACCATCTTCCAAGCGACGAGATGCACTCTTTGACAGTGTAGGACCTACTCCACTTTGTCGTCCTCGATGATTCTTCAAGTTTCGGTTCATGATCTCAATTTCATTTATTGATGAAGATGAGCCTGCTTGTTCTAATTGTGTCTGGTACTCCTCGCTCATTCGGACCTATCAATTTATATACCAAAACAATTACATATTATTAAGGATACAATTAATTAAAAAATCATTTACTTACATATTTGTCATGTTCTTCTTTAGTCCTCCATTCACCACTACGAGTCAAGCGTTGATCCTTCCGATTTTCAAGAGCCGAAGACTCCTCACTAATTATTGGATTATCCTATATAGTATTTACAATAAACAAACATATAAAAATGATTAAAGTATTATGAATATAAGATAACTAACTTCAATCACTACTCACTATTAAAACTAAAACATCATAGTATTATACCACCATAAAAAATGCCAAAAGATTTGCAAAAAAATGCAAGAACACATGCAAAAAAACTGCCCGCAAAAAATTGCACCACAAAAATATTATTAGAACACGCATTCATATTTCATCACACACTACTCCCAAATATATTAATCACTCAAAACTAATCAATACCACAATTTAAAATGTAATGACAACGATTCAGGTCTTACTTTTTCGTGCATGTATTGGGCATATGATTTTCTACCATGCCAACTTTTATCATCACTTGCTTCTCTATTTTGTAAATTTTTTCCAGAGATCTCCTGTGAAAGAAGGAAACTAATTCATAACTTCAAATTTCATAACTTCAAATTTTGTAAGATGTACCACTCTGCTTTATTCCGCATATTGTAGTCCAAAGTTATTGGAGACTTTTTTCCAATTGGACGACATCGAGATTGGAAGATAGGCAAACTTCCTGCATTGTGAACATCACTATCAATCCAATTCCTCTCCAATCTGTTGAATCTTGTCTCAATGTCACTTAAATACATTGAGCAGAATGTCAATGCTTCATTCGCGATATAAGGCTCAGCAATAGATCCTTCTAGATGTGCACGATTCCTAACATACTTCTTCAAAGAGCCAAGAAACCGTTCAATCGCATACATCCATCTTAGATGAACAGGCCCTCCTCGAATGGCTTCCTATGGTAAGTGCATCACAACATGGACCATGATATCAAAGAAAGCAGGTGGATTGAATCCATCTGCAGATAACCCCAACCGCACATTTCTGGGTTCACTAGCAAAGTCGGGGTAGTTCTCATCAAACTATTTCCACTCTTTACCATCAACTGGATGATGCATCACATCTGGATCAGTAGATTTTCCCCTTTGATGCCATGTCATTTCCTTGGAGGTGTGACGTGAAACAAACAACCGTCTCAATCGATCCTTTAGTGGAAAATAACGGAGAACCTTCCATTGAACTTTCCCCCCCCCCCCCCTTTCATTTTTCCACCGACTTGTGTTGCAAATTGGACATGTCTGTAGATCTGCATTACTCTTCCAGAATAAAACACAATCATACTTACATGCATGAATCTTTTGATACCCTAATCCTAATTTGCTCAACTTTTTCTTTGACTCGTAATGAGAAGTTGGTAACTTACTGCCATTAGGCAGTACATCTTTTAGTAGCTTTAGCACTGAATCCATACACTCATTTGGCCACTTATAAAGTACTTTCAAATGCATAAGTTTCACTAAAAAAATTAGTGATGAAACCTTGGTGCACCCCGGATACAACTCTGTGTGGAGCTCGGATAATAGATCCTCATACTGACTATACCCTTCATCAGTGGTATTGTTTGTGGTCTCACCTCCAATGCCATGGTCGTGAGTTTCCGCAACAATGTCATTAAGTACAGCGGCCATTTCATCATCTGACTCATTGCCTGCAATCGAATTTTGATATGATGGTAACTCAGGTGGCTCACCATGAAAAACCCAATGTGCATATGTCACATCAAAGCCACATTCAAAGATGTGCCTTTTAACATCTCTCAATGGGAACATTTGCCCATTTACACAATGTTTACAGGGACAACTTATCTTTCCTTCTTCATTCACAAAGTCTTTTGCATAGTCTATAAAACCTTGTAATCCATTCCAAAACTCTTCTGATAATCGATTCTTTATAAATATCCAACTTTTATCTATCGGCATCCTTGCCAGAAAGTGATCAACTTGAAGGCTCTACCAATCATTCATATAAAGATAAATAAATGAGTTTAATTAAAAAAGGAGCATGCTATATACAACAATAAAGGTATATATTTTGTTAAATAAATCTCAAATTAGTAATTCTTATATTCTTTAATTCCCAGAAAGAAACAACAACATATTGACAGGTGTTTCAATATGAGCATAGATTTTTCATCGAAGTTGTGAAGTAGCTAAAATTAGAATATGAAAGCACAACACCTTAAGGTAACTAGCCCATACAAAAAATCGAACAAAAATGGAGACAAAAAGAAACAAATAAAAGGCACAGGTAGCTACGACTCAAATAATATAGTGTGGTTAAAACATAGTCACACACCCACTTTGTTGACCTAAGACTCAAATCATCATTGCATTCATTGAATACTTGAATCATACAGACAAGAATAAGCATGCCATGCAAAATAAACATGTATTTTAGCTGCCTGTCCAAAACAAGTAGACTAAATAGTTAAGTGCTGGAAATGCTCAAAATTAACAGTTGGGGTGGTATTGTAGTAATGTCATGTAAGCACATGATACCGTTAAAGAAATCTTGCTTCAATATTAGAATTGTTGATCAATATTGGGATTTGATACTTAAAAATCTATGCTACTATTATACATGCCGAAATCTGGGAAGTCTAAGAAAAATGGCATTTACTGCACATGTATGAATCTGTTTAATATGGGTAAATGTGTTTGGAAGGGCTAATATTGCTAAAATTATGGCTGTATCAACTAAAATTGTATGTAATATATTTCCTTACTAAGTTAAATGAAATAATTTCTAAAAAGAGGCTAGAAGTGTCATTTTCTTTCATTCCAGCAAAAATGTAACATCTGCAGTACTGTAGTTATCATAAATGGATTTAGCCATACTCATCAAACTGAAATAAGTCCGTGTTTAGTAAAAAATGTTTGATAGGAAGAAAACACATGCTTAGAAGAGGGCATTAAAACTCATGTGGAAGATGTCCCTAACTCAGCCATACTCATTAAACTGAAATAAGTCAGTGTTCGGTAAAAAAGGTTTGATAGGAAGAAAGCACACGCTAAGAAACGACATTAAAATTCATACCAATTCTGAAATATGTCCCTAAGTTTAAGTTCTTTACAAATCGTGGTCTTGTTTTGCAATTACTATGCTGATGTACTTGTTATTATTAGTGTTCTGATCTATTTTGGATAAGTTTAGTTTGAAAAACGAATGAAGTCCAACGGGCTAATAATGAAATTCTTAGCTTCATATATGCATAACCAAACTTATAAGCTTTATTTTCATTTGTATGTATATATACATACTCCTTAGCTGCTTTTCATAACTCTGCCATAGCCTAGGTTGCCTTCTTCAAAATATAATAATGAAGGTATGTGTTTGTGTTTATGGATATGGGATATATATTCGCAGCTTAATTAACAAATCAATTAAACTTAACAGATAAATAACTAATAGTTAATCAGAAATCTCAAATATTATTAGGAGCCAACCTAAGGTTGAAATCTGAATAGAAAACTAAGGTTGAAAAATAGAACCGGTCGGACGAACAATAGTTAACCGAGGGGATGAACTGATGAGAAAAATAGAAAACTAAGGTTGAAATCTGAATAGCCAACCTGAAACAACCGAGTGAGAGAACCAATCGGACGAAAAGAGGTAAGCCAAGACGAACAAGGGAGGGCTGATTCACCGAGAGAAAGCTTGAACACGGCTTGACGGGTGATTCACCGGTCCGACGAAGGGAACACGTTCTGCGGCGGAGAGAAGATTTCCGTGAGAAGACTTCCGCTTTGCTCGTCCATCGGGTTGGAAATATGCCCTAGCTAAAAGTGAGCTGCTCCATTTAATTTAATTTTCAACATTTGCGTCGACACCTGTCGACACAAATAGAATTAAACTCTTTTAGCGCCGGCACGGTGACACAAATAATAAAATTGTGTAAGGGCTGGGCGGGATTTTAATCAATGTCATTTGCGTCTACTTGTCGACGCAAAAGAGTACTTATTTGCGTTCACTTTAGTCGACACAAAAAAGTTGGACGCAAATAATACTTTTTCTTGTAGTGTAGGGATCTGTGATTGATGAAGGGGTTAATTACGATGTATGGCTAGATTCTTGATGGTTTAATTGCATGAATGTCGTTTAATTTGTGTTTGAATAATTTAATTGATATCTTTTGTAACCTGGAACCGCGACTAGAATTACAATTGCTTATAGAATAAATTAAGAGAGATCTAGTTTATTCTAGGACACATTCACAAACACTTAATCGTCCGCTAAGAGGTTAGTAGCGATTAAGGGGCCGTAAACTCGCTCGTCTTGGCAATAATTTAGGATCTTGTCGAATGAGAGATCAGCCAGGTTCCCTAAATTATTGTACTCTACGCCGCGAGAGCGGTAAGAACTTAGTAATGATTAGCTAGACTCAATTGAATTAATTTCATGTAATTAGGCCTGATCTGCCAAGAAATCTGATTACCCCGGAATCAATCCCTGTTCCCTTCATCATTAATTAGAAAGAACCCCTAATTTAATCGTTTTATTCGCATTTTTATTTTCCAGCAACCAAGCTCGCACGACGCATTTTTAATTTATTTTAATCGCTGAATTTAGTTAATCTTTAATTCCCTTTTGTCCGTTCCAGTGGAGACGATACTCGTACTTTCACCACTATTCTATTATTAATTTAAGTGCGAGAAAACTCACTGCATCCCGTCACATGTCCCCCATCTCAAAACATGCACCCGGGGTTACTAACAGTCTTCAGAGGTCGCTCGACAATATCCAGCACAGTCTTTAGCCATTGGAGAACCAAGTTCACCTGTAACGAACTGATTCCAAGCCACCAGTAACCTTTTTCATTTCAAATCCGTAGGCGTGAACCCCTTCCTTCAACCTCCAAGCCTCCACGCGTGACTCGTTCACATCTGTCGCAGGCCCCACCAACTCAAAACCTGCACCCAGAGCTACTGACCGCCATTGACGAAGGGGATAGGATTTTCCGGCGAGGTCTTCAGCCCTTGGAAAAACGAAGTTTCAAAGCTAGTTCACCATCAAGATTCCAGCGAAGGGAAACTCATGGCACTAATAGTAACAGTCCTCCCATGAAACCACCGAAGTGGTAGACAAACTTTTCCAAAAATGTAACCATAACACCTAAGACCCGCCAGAGCTAGGAGGGCCCCGGCGGCGGCGGCCACCGTGAGTGGTGGTGCCAACCCGAGGAAAAACCGCGAGGGAAGAATCTAGCCGCGAATTGGCTAGAGAGAGACGCTCTCAACTTCCCGCAAAGGGTATCTTAGCGTTGTAGTCCTTTATAAAAAGCATGTGAAGTGTTTTACCAACATCCCTCACGTAAAATACTTTACATGGTACAGTGTAAAATGTTTTTAAAAGTGTCATACAGTTACATTAAATAATTCAGCCAACCAATGTAAAAATTTTACATCCCAAACGCCCTCTAAGGGTATTTGGGGCAATTCAGGTAACTTCGGTCTCGATCGTTTGGTCTATATTAAAATCAGGTCTTATTTTTGTCCATCTAAAGTACAATAGTAATTACTTTTGTCATTGTTTCTTTATTAAATTTGTGTCGAATTTTCCAATAAAAGTTAGGCTCTAATTGGTTAAATATAGATCTAAATGTCATGTATGCACTAATGATTTTTTTTTGAATAAAAATAGGATGCGGGTCTCAAACACTACATCTCACATTTTTAAATTTAATGAAAATGCTTAGTAGCCACTTAGCTATGATGAGAACGTGTAGGTCTGTCAATAGGTCGGGTCCGAGCAGGATGTAATGTTCCATACCCGGACCTGCTAAGTTTATAATGGGCCTGGAGGCGACCTATACACGAAGGGTCTGAAAATTTGGATCCGAACCCAGACCCAACGGATCTCAGAACTGGATCGAATAGACTCGCAAAATATGAGATGCACAACATTACAAATTATATGAAAATAACAAGACTTATATATGAAATGTAAAACAAAGTATGCAAACAAAGTGTGCACTTTGAAAACCGAGAACAGGTACCCCTTTATTTGGTCGGATACCCGTTCTTGACCGGGGACCAGAAAAACAGACCGGTCCGATCCCAATAAGCACCGGAGCCATTTCCGAACGGGATCCATGTGGCCATGCCCATGTGCCACGCACGAGTTCATGATCGACTAGTTCAATTTTGTAATTCGTAATTAAATTTAAGGTATCAGACTGAGCAAACATATCACCAGCATTGCAAATTTACTATCTCCCTCCTAAATTTTTATTCCCAACATGAATTGACATTTTTTGAATATAGTGATGTTGTATGAGTTTGATTCTATAAGAAAATGAGAAAGGTGTTAAATATTCTAAATAGGAAAATAGAAGCTAGAAAATTATGAAAGTGAAAGAATATTTACTTTGAGAGTTTGGGGCACTCCTTTTGAGAGACTTGTATTGTTGAATTATTTTTTCTTTCATTCGTTTAATGGTTACAAGTTTCCTCGACAAAAAAATAGATTAATTTCTAGAACCTTCACACTTACTTGAGTTCACTAGATGGGTTAATTCGACTTTAATTTACATCCCGCTTTTTAGGTGGTACTTAACTTTGTGCCCCATTTTTAAAAAATTAACTTAAACTTTGCATCTTATTCCCCTTAAAAGCTTTTAACTTTACATCCCATTCAGATTTTCGTTTTCCACAAAATGTTATATGATGGACTGCAAAGTCCAAGTTCCCCTTACTAGATTAATACCATAATCATGATTAGTAAAATAGAACAATAATAAAATATGATATAAATTTAACAATGCTACTATAAAACCCTACATATTTACTTTATTAGACTTTCATTTATATAATGTGTCAATGCAAATTTAGAGAGGAAATTTAAGAAATAGGAGTAAGAACGTTTCATAATTTCAAAATAGGATTATCATGTTTTTATTCCTAAATAGGAGTAATTAATTACCGTTAAGTTTGAAAAATGTTGTCATGTTTTAAGTTCAGTACTGCCAACACATAACAGTAATTACTCCTATTTAGGAATAAAAACATAATAGTCCTACTTTGAAATACACTAATTCGTTCAGTCCTATATAGGGCAATTGATATTTTTTCTTCGTCATATAGATGTCTCAAACCACAATCCAACTGGTTTTGTTTGTATATTTTGAGATTGTCATGTACAACTATTAAATTATCTATGAAAGAGCATTTATAATCTCAACTTCAAATAAAACTTAATGCATGGTCATCCATTTGTAATGAAAATCACACTCAATTCAACATAAAGATGCAAGCATTACAAAAAAAATCTATAGAGACATTTGAGGCGATCTTAGTAAATTATGTTCGTTGAGGCGGAGGTGGTAATGGCTTGTTGATGCAATATTTCTCGCATCCCGCGTAAAACTGCCAAAGATGTTCATCTTTGTCAAAAATGCATTTCCAACAAGGTTCGAAGCCACAATCGTGTTTTCGAATACAAAAGTCGATACCTTTTAGTTTCTCACTTGTTGCAACCCTACCTGTTAATTAAATATATAGTGAAAAACAAGACATTAATATATATATGAAATCGTATCATAGATCGATGTTATAAGCAATGGCACACTCAGGAATATAGTGTTAGGGAGTCAAGACGGGTGTCGAACAAATTTTTGCAAATCTCTTACCAAAATCCCTATCAATTCCGCGTTTTTTTGTAGTCTACTTCACGAGATTTTTATTACATATACTAATAAATATTGCTAGATAAAAAGAATAATGCACGGACCACGTAAAAGGGAAAAAGCTAAAGAAAATAGAGGTCGATCCTCTAGTAAACATACATTCGTAAGTGCTGAATAAGGTTGAGAATGCGAGGCAGAAGATCAGTAAATACTTAAGCTCCGTTGCAACCATTGTTTACGACTAGTAAATTGTATATATGTATGTTTTGAGCTCCATGAGAATTGGTGCCAATGAATTTATATACACGTAATATAACCTAGATTATAAAATGGTCAAATTACTTTGAATAAGTTAATTGCCCGTAATATAATAATAACTTACCTAAAAAAGTTAATTGCCCGTAAAAATTCACTTATCTCACTCCATATTCAAAAAAAACTTTCCATAACTTTCCATAGTCATATTCACTTATGGCATTAATTAATGACCAAAAATAAATTTATTTATATCGGATCCAATACATACTTCGTCATTCCGTATCACACACCTCCTCCGTCATGAAAATGTTTGTCAAATTGACTTTTCTTAGTAAATGACAATCAACTTTGACTAATGATATTTATTAATACGAAATTACTTAGAATATGAAAATTATATTAAAATGTTCGTCATTCAAAATATTTTCATAAAAGTAAAAAAATTATAAATTATACACAAATATAATAATTAAAATCATCGTCTAAAATTTGTCATCTTTGACCAAAAAAGTCAATATGGCGAACCTTTTCGGGACGGATTTAGTATATGTATAGCTTTAACTAAACTAATACTCCGTCTAATATTAATTTCCACTTTTTTTAATTAATAATAGTACACTCCGTCAAAAAATTACTCCGTCTAATGTTAATTTTCACTTTAATTAATAATAGTAGTACCAATTACCAAGTGTATATTAGAAATCATATCCTATATACATAAAAGCAAAATCCTTCTCCCAATCCCTTTTCCCGCTTCTCTCTCATTAATCGCATCTCACCCAAATTATTAGTGTACGGTTACCTACAACACCGCTATGCCTTCCTCAATCGCACGTTAAATTTTCCAACCCCAAATTCAGTGCACATGGCTCTTTAATCGTACATTTCCGTCTACAGGCGCAAATTCAGGGCAGACAAAGAA